CATACTTATCATTATGAAAATTTAAACAGCAGCCATCAATCATCAATATTTACTAAGTGCCAGGCAGTACACTACAAATCATTACAAGTTATCATGGTTACCTTGTTATCACTGATACCATCACCACCCCCATCCTGGAAGGGTCTCAGGCCCAGGGCTATCACCAACTGTAGGGCTCGCCCAAGATAAATCACACTTTAAAGGAGGCCTCACTAAACAGCTTCATAGGCCCCTTGGGAACGTTAAAAACAAATTTGGAAATTGAACCCAATGGGATTGTGGGTCTGTTCTACCCTACTTTCCAGCCTTCTTACATAGATTATTCTCATAGTAAGATTCAAAATTAAGGGCAAAAAGGCTAATTTACTTTCCAGTCTGGGTAAAACAAAGACCAAAATAAGGACTATGGTAGGTTAGTTTCAAATTTCTCACTGAAGCAAATTAAAATAACGGGTAACATTAGGCGCTTACACTAAGCAGAAGTCACTGTGCTAAGCACTTTTGTATGTTACATATAACAATAGTAGGAGCTAGGTAATATCCTCATTTTACAGATGAGGAAACAGAAGCTGAAGAGAATTAAGTAACTTACCCAAGATCATATAGTTATTTGGTGTCAGAGCTGGTAGCAAGAGGTCTAACTTCAGAGGCTATACTCTTATCCTCTATAGTTATGATAAAAATAAATGAAATTTTTATTACAACCATATAAAATTTATCTAAAATGAATATGCATTCATGAAGAAAATGATCCAAAGAACATGAAACAGTTGGTTAAATAAAACGAGTGTTCAGCATCTGGTAATAGTCCCCCAATCCACTAAATGTCTATCATAATCCTCTGCTGGCTCCACAAGTAAATAAATCATTTAATGTCCTGATGTAGCTATGAAATTATATTTTGAGTGAACCTCTCGAAACAATACTATACATTCTGCAAATGAAATATGCTGCTCTCTTGGAGCTGTGAAAATACATAATTCTTGATCTATTAACTGTCCTATTTCTGTTCCGTTTCCTCCCTTCTTCTCCCACTTCCTCTTTGCTCTCATATCCTTTAAGACCAGTTTAGTTTCTCCTCCTCAAGAATGCTTATATTCACACTTTACCCAAGAGAACTCTAACATTAGTGTCTGTGCTCTACAGTTGTAAGATGTTGCAAAATCAAAAAAAATGAACTCAAGTAAAAAATACAGTATTTCTGATGTACCTTCAACTTTAGATCTATCCACTCACAGAATTAATTATAAACATTCTTATTTTTCTACTTCATACTTGGAATCCTGTCTTTAACAATCAGCACACAGTAACCAAAACAGACATATAGGCCAATGGACCTATGGAACAGAACAGAGACCTCAGAAATAACATCACACCTCTACAACCATCTGATCTTCGACAAACCTGACAAAAAAAACAACGGGGAAAGGATCTCCTATTCTGTAAATGGTGTTGGGAAAACAGAATAGCCACATGCAGAAAACTGAAACTGGACCCCTTCCTTACACACTATAGAAAAATTAATTCGAGATGAATTAAAAACTTAAATGTAAAATCCAAAACCATAAAACCCTAGAAGAAAACATAGGCAGTACCATTCAGGACACAGGCATGGGCAAAGACATCACGACAAAAACACCAAAAGCAATTGCAGCAAAAGCCAAAATTGACAAATGGGACCTAATTAAACTAAAAAGCTTCTGCGCAGCAAAAGAAACTATCATCAGAGTGAACAGGCAACCTACAGAACAGGAGAAAAATTTTTCTATCTACCCATCTGACAAAGGTCTAATATCCAGAATTCACAAGGAACTTAAACATATTACAAGAAAAAAAAAACCCCACCAAAAAGTGGGCAAAGGATATAAACAGACACTTCTCAAAAGAAGACATTTTCACGGCCAACAAACATATGAAAAAAAGCTCAACATCACCGATCATCACAGAAATGCAAATCAAAACCACAATGAGAGATAACCATCTCACACCAGTCAGAATGGTGATTATTAAAAAGTCAAGCAACAATAGCTGCTGGTGAGGCTGTGGCAAAATAGAACATTGTAACACTGTTGGTGGGAATGTAAATTGGTTCAACCATTGTGGAAGACAGTATGGTGATTCTTCAAGGATCTAGAACCAGAAATACCATTTGACCCAACAATCTCATTACTAAGTATATATCCAAAGGAATATAAGTCATTCTACTATAAAGACACAATTCACACGTAGGTTTATTGCAGGACTGTTTACAATAGCAAACACATGAAACTAACCCAAATGCCCATCAATGATAAACTGGATGAAGAACATGTGATACATATACACCATGGAATACTAGGCAGCCATAAAAAAGGAATACAATCATGTCCTTTGCAGGGACATGTATGAAGCTGGAAGCCATTATCCTCAACAAACTAACACGTGAACAGAAAACCAAACACCTCATGTTCTCATTCATAAGTGGGAGTTGAACATTGAGAACACATGAACACAGAGAGGGGAACAACACACACCAAGACCTGTTTCAGGGTAGGAAGTGAGGGGAGGAACAACACACACCAGGGCCTGTCTCAGGGTGGGAACTTAGAGGATGGGTCAATAGGTGCAGCAAACCACCATGGCACACATACACCTATGTAACAAACCTGCACGTTCTGTACATGTAGCCCCTATATTTTTTTTAGAAGAAATAAAATAAAATCAGCACCCAAGTCTACCTTTCTTCAAAAATCGTTTTTCCAAAAATTTTTTTCCATAAATAAGGAAACTAAAAAAACTAGAATCCAAAAAAAGAAAAAGAAAATGCACTGTGAGATGGTAATAAATATATCACATTTTTGGTAATGTAATTCATTTATTCTGAATCATTTCTGGAACTTGTTAATATAAACGTTTTACAAGTAAATTTAATACATAAAAATGCTACTTAATGGAGTACTAATATGTACTCTCACTCATTTACTAATGCGTATTTTTTACTGAACCATGTAACTTTTATTTTTCTTTTTTGAGACAGAGTCTCACTCACTCTGTTGCCCAGGCTGGGGTGCAGTGGTATGATCTCAGCTCATTGCTACCTCTACCTTCAGGGTTCAAGTGATTCTCCCGCCTTAGCCTTCTGAATAGCTGGGACTACAGGGGTGCGCCACCATGCCCAGCTAATTTTTTGCAATTTTTTTTTTTTTTTTAAGTAGAGACGGGGGTTTCACCATATTGGCCAGGCTGGTCTCGAACTCCTGACCTTGTGATCCACTCACGTTGGCCTCCCAAAGCGCTGGGATTACAGGTATGAGCCACTGCACCAGGCCCATATAACTATTTTTAAAAGTTATGAACCAAGATGACTATACCAGATAAGGCACAGGTGCTGAAGTTAAAAGGATCTTGGCTTGAAACCTGGCTATTGTACTTACTAGCTCAGAGACCTAGAGTTGTCAGTTAAACTTCGGGTTACATTTCACTTACCTTTTTGATGAGAGAATAATAATTACTCCTAGGGTCTTAGTAAGCTTTAAATGATTATGTAAAACACTCAGCACAGAGTCTAACATGCAGTTACATTCTTGATAAATGACAACCATGGTAAACGTATTTTAATACTGAAGAAAGTATAGTTAAAGGATACGGCCAATATGTGATCCTCTTGCCTTATTAAAGATGGAAATTTGTGAAACTCTACAATACATTAAAACTAAAAATCCTAAGGTTACATAAGGAATTTTCTACTTTTAAAAAAAGCTATACTGACTATATAAGGTGAAATAATTAAAATAAGAAAGAAAAAAGAAAAGCTTACTGAAAGCTACTGAGTTTGGGTGATGCTTGGGGTACATGCTATTTTTGTGAAAATACAAATTTTGTAACACTATTAATCCAATCCCCAGAACATGTCTAACACTCCCCCTCATATTCAGGAGAGATCAAGATTTTAGCCTTGAGATGTACTGAACAGTGGTACCTCCCTGCTCAATAGTAGTGTACAGGTCAAGTTTTCTCCGACGAGTTTACCTTTCATTATTATAAAGGTGAGCACAGGGAATAGTTATCAATGCATGGAAGGGTGAAAAAATGCAAGCTTTTCAACTGCTTATTAATACGACATCAAAACAACAGCAATGCACATTTTTCCACGTTTCAAAAACATAAAATACATCCACTTTACTTTTTAAATTACAAGAGCGTCACAGGCACAGCCCAAAAAACCTAAAGGTGAACACATCAGAGTTGTCAGTATCTTTAAATTTTGAGGGATGTCATTATTAATTCATGTAAATGTTTTATCTGATGTTTCTAGGTAGGTTTTGGGTTTTATCACTGATTAACAATATAGCAAACTAGCACAGGGAGAGAGGCAATTAATTTTTCGAAACGCTTAAGAAGCTTTAACCTCCAAGAGCTTATGCTACCTGAACTGAGCTGACTAACAACACAAAATTTCAAGTCACACCTTGCCTATTTCTGAGTAAGCAAGCAAACACCAGTGAAACAAACTACAAGCATGAAGCAAAGCAAGTCATTTCTGTGCTAACCCTAATTCCTATAATAAAGGGGCTGGCTCTATCAAAAAATATTCCTATTTCATTATTAACACAAGTTTCAAATAAAGCACACTTGCCATTGGTAATTCTGGAGCGACAAAACGCATAATTAATAAATCCCAATGGTTTATCTTTCTACAGAATGCAAAGCCATCTGCAGTTTCAGCCTCGGTTTACCCATTCACTATGCACATGCAGACGTCTTTAAAACAAACAAACAAAAAAGCGGTAAACTTTATCTGTCCTGAGAAATTCTATCTCTCGGTGCTTCCTGTATACCCTGGAAGTCAATGTCGCTGAAGGTCCATTTTAACATTTCCAACTCCGGCGGAACGCGAGCGGTGGACGCCAAGCATCCGCCCACCGGCCTCTCGTGACTCGGGCTACTTTGACGCACCGGGATGCGGCTCACCTGACATTCCGCACCAACCCTTGCCAGCAAGGGAAACCAACTCCGCGGAAATGAAATGGGTCCCCGAGGAGGCATGCGGGTGCCCCCAGAGCTCTCTCCCGCTCGCACCCCGAAAGCGAGGGGCCACGCCGCCCCCGACCCTCGCAGGCGTCCGCCACCTGCCAGATGAGGCCGCGACCGGGGGCCGGGGTTCGGCCGCAAGGAAGGGGAAGCCCAGCCCAGGCCCCCTCGGCGTCCGCCCCGGCCCGGCGGCCAGGGAAGGAACCCGGGGCCGGAGGCTTCCGCCCGGCGCGGCCGAGCCCGCCAGGGGCCTAGCTCGGGGGCCGCTCGTGCTCCCGAGGACCCGTCCCCGTCGTGCGGAGCGCGCAGCCGCCTCAGCCCAATCCGCGGAGCCTCGGGGCGGCGGGCGCAGCGCCCGCACCTGCCCTGCGCCTTGCGGCAGCCCCGCGAACGGCTTCACCCACCTGGCGCCCTCGCCGCGCCTCCCGCACGTCACAGCGCGGCTCCGCGCTCCTCAGCACCAGCAGCCTGGGAGCAGGCAGGCGCCGGGAGACCCTGCTCTGCCGCCGTCGCCGCCGCTGCCGCCGGCTTGGTCGTCAGGCCGCCGCCAGCGAACCTGTTGCGTAGCCTGTCACGGCCGCTTGGGCTCCGCGGGCGCCGCCTCAGCCCCACAACAACATGGCGGCCGCGGCCTCCGCAGGAAGCCGGGGGGCGGGGAGGTAGGCGCCGGGCCGGGCAGCAGACGGCCCGCCCGCTGCCGGGCACCGACTCCCCACCCTTGGGAGCCCGAAACCGCCCGGGCGTGGCTTCTCGTCCCCAGAGTTCTAGAGCACTGAACCTTGAAGATCGGCGCCGAATCGCTAGGGTCGAAAGTGCTGCTCCCTGCCCTCGGGGAAGCCCCGAAGCCCCAGCCCTGGCAGCCCTTCCTGGGGCTGCGGAGACCCACCTGGCTCCTCCTCCCCGAGGTGACATGCCGAGCTTGGGTGGTGCTTTTCCTGCCACGACGGACCCCGGGGTTTTGGAAAGTGCCAAGCAGTGCCTGGCACATCCCTGTAGCACCCCACAGGGGGCTCTCCCTGGAACCTTCCCACTCGCCGAAATCTGCTCCACTGATCTGGGGGCACGAATTCTCTGGGAATTGGGGGGTGGAAAGTGGGAAGGAGGTTGATGTCTGTTACCTCTTGAACCCTTCTCAGGGACCTGGAGGACTTCCCCATATCTGAGGGTCATCCATTTACTAACCCTCGCCCTCCTCCCCGAGCACCCTGTATCCTATTCACACTCCCACGAGCAGCAGGAAGACTGTCCCCAGAGAGCACAGCGCACCAAAGCTCAACTTTCCTCCCCACCCCATAGCCAAGGAACGGTTTTAGCTCAAACTCAGAATTTGTCTCTTTCTTTCTCCCCTCCCAGTCCTGGTCTTGCCCTTCACCAGGCTCTCCTTTAAGGGAAAGGCTTTCTTTTGATTGGGGTGAGGGAGGAGTTAGTGTTTCCTAATACGTGGAAAAGAAAACAGATCACAACTAAATGCATCGTAACCAAATGTAAGACTCAAGATTCTGGAATGTAAGATCCAAGTTGCCATCCTTCCTTTCTTCCTCCTCCCTCCCTCCCTCCTTCCCTCCTTCCTTCCCTGGAGCAACCTCTGCCTCCTGAGTTCAAGCAATTCTCTCTGCCTCAGCCTTCCAAGTAGCTGGGATTACAGGCACGCGCCACCACCCCTGGCTAATTTTTGGATTTCTAGTAGAGACGGTGTTTCACCATGTTGGCCAGGCTGGTCTCGATCTTATGACCTTGTGATCTGCCTGCCTCAGCCTCCCAAAGTGCTGGGATTACAGGCGTGAGCCACCACACCTAGCCAAGACCCAAGATTTCTTTGGCTTTTAGAAGCAGGGTGAGGGCTGGTCCAGCATCCAAAACTCATATCCCCATGATTTGATCTTCTTTGTTAGAGAAACACAGGCCATGCTCTTCTGGGTTTAGATAGCAACAGTGTCTGAATTTTAAAATATACAGTGGATCAGATCGTTTTGTATTGCTTGGTCCAGTCTGGCCAGGCTTTTTTATTTCTTTCTAGTATTGACATTTTCTCCTTGAGTAAGATAATTTCTTGAGCCAGATCAAATGGCTCCATGGCATCTTCTCGTTCCTTACCTGTTGAGGCAGGTGAAGGTGAGATGGCTGCAAACCCAGGCCTATCTGAACTGGTCAGCCAGCTCACGAGGAATTTAGCAAACATCGATGATGATAAACAGGCTTTTCCCGCCCTCACACTCAGTGTTTTTCCTAACTCTTTGATTAAAACCTGACTGAGACCTGACAGACAGGTCCTGAGCTTCAGTGACACAGAGAGGCCTGATCCTTGTATCAGTCTAGGAGGCCCCTCACTTGCTGGGGTCCAACCAATCTGTCCTCATCTGCAAACAAACCACCCAGGCCAAGGATAGCAATCTTCAGCACATGGCCTCATTCCCATTGCAGACCTCACAAGTTAACTGATACCCCCTTTGGGGGCCCATATTTGAGAGTCAAGGCCCCAGAATCCTTTTCAACATAGTGCTCCAGAGAGTTGGCCTGAGAGGTAAAACCTATTTTTTATTCCTGTTAGGCAAATAGCCAGTCTTCATTTTTCTCCCATCCTTTGACCAATGTCATTTGTGTTTTGGGGTTCTAAACCAGGTGCAATTCACCCTGAGTCCTCTTTCCTTCTAAAGGAGGTGCCAAATCTCGACAGGACACAAATGGAATTTGTAGAAAGAGATGCTTATAAAGGAATAATAAATTTAAAAAATTTTCAAGCCCCTCTAAAATAAACCAAAAAGCTAACCACCTCTGGTGGTTAGCTTTCAGGGTTCTGAATACATGACTACAGTATCCCAAGCACTAAAACAACTATCCCAGGGTTCCTTCAGAGCTTTGAGGCCAGTTTGTCCATCTTGTCCTACTCTACCATAGCCCAAAATATAAGCACCGCCAGTTATCTATCCTCTCTGTCACACATACCTCCCACCCTGTGTAATCCAGGGATAAATTTGGGCAATATTAAGCATTTGGTGATTGGATATAAGTAATGAGAGAGAAGAAAGAGTAAAGGGTTCTCGGGTTTTGGGGTAATATAATGGTAGTTCTATTCAACAACATAAAGAATGGAATACAGGAGGGAAGCACAGACCTTGGAAGTGGCTGAAGAAATATTTTCCTTATTCCTCAAACTGCTTCTAGATCCTGGTTTTCCACTCACATGCAAAAGCCTCTTGGCCTGTGAGGCTTATAACACTAATTACACCCATCCTCAATCCTCTTCATTTACCATCTTCCAGGGCACTCAATATATTCATCAAGAATTTCTGTGCGTAAAGCAGCCAGTACTCTCCACCCAGGGCCTTCATCATCCTTAGTGTCTTTAGTATTCATGATTCACTTAGGTGATGCAATCACCATCCCAGTTCCTTGACTTCCTCTTCTCATAGGGTGACCTTGGAAGTGTATCTGTACATTTCCTGCTTAGTATTCCCCAAATCCCACCACCTTTTGTTTACCTCTGACACCAGCTGGAAATCAAATACCTAGAGGAACTAAGTCTTACCATGTTACATTGCTCTTCCCCTAGTTCTGCCACAGTCTGGGCAAGATTCTTAGACTTGTTCCTGGTAACCTAGCTTTTACCCTGGGAGCATTTAGTTGTGATCTGTTTCCTTTTCCACGTATTATTGATCCTTCTCCTCAACCATATATATCTTATGCTCTATCAATCTCGCTCATGTTGGTTTTCAAAGATTCCATTCTTTACCCCATTTCTACCATGTTTACCCTCAAAACAAGCCTGCAGTGTAAGAAGAGCCTGGAATAGGGAGAAGCGCAGTTCCAGATTCCAAGCATCCCATAAGATAAATACATTATCATATAGAGTAGGAAAACTGTGAGAACCTGGAGCTCATATTTTATGTTATACTTTTACCTCCAAGACAATGCTGTAACTTTGGTTTTAAATAATTTATAAAGAAATTAATAAGATACAGGCAACAAAAATAGTCTTGATTTATCAAGATATTTATCATTTCTATGCTTTTCATTCTTTCCTGAGGATCAGAGTTTCCCTATGATAGCATTTCCCACCTGCCAAACAAACTAACCTTGAAAATGGGTGACACCGGAGAAGCAGAGGGAGGGGGAGGAAAGAAATTGAGCAGATCTTGTCATTCCCCATTTTCTCCCAAACCCCAGCTCCCAGCCCCGCAGACACTTGGTCCTGAGCTTTGCCACCTGGGGCATGGGCCCCGGGTGGAACCACTGCAGGGGCAGATCTTGGCGGTGGTAGCAAATATTCAGACAGGAACTTTGAAGACCAAAGTGGAGAAGAGTTCCATGTGAACAGCAGTAGATATGAGTTATGTATTTTTAAATTAATTAATAATTTTTTAAAGACCCTGCCATGTTCCAGTGACTAGAAACAAGGACTTAGCAAGGAATTAGCACTGGTGAGAATCAATGGAGACTCAATTCACAGGAATGGTCAATGGGACAAATTTGGTCCTTGGATCTTTTCTTAGCTTCTTGACCTCACAGACCCCCACAACTCCAGAAGGGTCTGGAGTCCAGGGCAGAAGAAAAGCAGAGAAGTGGAAATAGGAGTGACTTCAGGGGAAAAAGGAGGGAAGGGAAATTCCCAGCCCTGGCATGGAAGGAAGGGGTGCTCTCATTATTGGGCCACTTGTGTTGTGCATAACTTGAGACTCTGGCTTGAGGCCTGATAGTACCGGAAAGGCAGTACCAAGCAAACTGAAGGGGGAAATTAGCCCAGACTTGGCCTTAGGCCAGCACTGCAGGGTGGAGTCAGAGGCCAGACTGGGCGAGGCCCTAAAGGCCCTGGACAGGACGTGTTCATTCATTACCAAAGCACCAGGGGCTTCCAGTCTGGCAGGTGTAGCTCAGCGAAAGGGAATCCAGTCTGTGTTCAAGAATCAGAAATGCTTCCTGTCTGGCAGATATGCCCAGCTGTCTGCTTATTTCATTGTTGCTGTCTGCACACAAACCTGGAGTGATACCAGTTCTCTTCTTATAATAACCTAACTAATATTAATGTAGCATTTTGCACTTGGCAGAATACTTTCGTTATTTCATTTAATCCTTATAACAATCCTGGGAATTAGGGTAAAGTGCTATTTGTGATTGTCTCACTTTGGTTGTTATGAAGAAAGAGAGGTAAAATCAGACTTTTGCTTTGTGTTTGGAGACTTTTTCCCAGGCCTAGTTGTGATTTTCTTTTCCTTCTTCAGAGAAACACAGGCCATGCTCTTCTGGGTTTAGATAGCAACAGTGTTTGAATTTAAAATATACAGTGGATCAGATCATTTTGTACTGCTTGGTCCAGTCTGGCCAGGCTCTTTTATTTTTTTCTAGTATTGACATTTTCTTCTCCTTGAGTAAGAGAATGTCTTGAGCCAATGAAATGTTCCACTGTGGCCTCCCAAAGTGCAGGGGTTACAGAGGTGAGCCACTATGCCCAGCCCTTGAGCCAACGAAATTGAAGAAAGGTAACTGCTTAACTGCCCCTACCCCGGCCCTAGGGAGATAGAAATGGAATAGCTACCCTTAGTCTAATGCCAGGGGCAGAACAATCTACAAGGGTAAACCACAGGCAAATGTGAGGCCACATTTTGATTGTTTAAATGATATGCATGACACTTGCCCTGTCTTAAACTTCCCTCATGAAAGCAAGATGAACATCTAAGACTTTGAGCTATGAAAACCCTACCCAAAGTGGGGCCCTGCATCCTCAAGCTGGTTAACATCCTCGTCTGCCCTAGGGAGGAATGGCCAGATCAGGAGAGTTTTCTGCCTTGGGGCTCAGATGGAGATTAGGATTTGGGTGCTTGGTGCTATTTCCATTTCTGTTTTTGCTTCTTTTGTGGCATGTATAGAGTGGATATGTTTTTTTCCTTTTCTTGTGCCTATAGTTTAAGGGTGTTTAATTCAGTAGAACCATGAAGGAGAGCAAGAAAGAACAAAAAGTGGCCGGGCGTGGTGGCTCACACCTGTAATCCAAGCACTTTGGAGGCCAAGGCAGGCAGATCACCTGAGGTCGGGAGTTCAAGACCAGCCTGACCAAAATGGTGAAACCCCGTCTTAAAAAAAAAAAAAAAGAACAGAAAGTAAGCTCTTGGAAATTAACCTCAGAAGTCATTACTCAACAGGATAGTTTTGGCATTTATTTATCTATTTATTTATATTTATTTTTGTATTTTTTAGTAGAGAGGAGGTTTCACCATATTGGCCAGGCTGGTCTTAAACTCCTGACCTCAGGTGATTCACCCATCTGGGCCTCCCAAAGTGCTGGATTTACAAGCATGAGCCACTGTGCCTGGACTTATTTATTTATTTATTGAGATGGATTTGTTTATTTATTTTATATTTATTTATTT